CAGGTTGCGCCAGTGCAGGAATATTTCCTCGCTGTGGAGCGCAGCCTGAAACGCCTTGCCACAGGTTCTGGGAGTGTTCAAACAATGCCGATATCGACAGCACCGCCCTTACCGCTAGTACGTGCCAAGAAGCTTTGAACCACCCCTCTGAGTCTGAGTGTTCCTGGACTCGCGGGTTGGTGCCCCTTGGGTGGACCCTTGAAGCGCCCCCTGCCCCCGAGCAGAAGGCGCGGGCTCGGGGTTCCGTTCTCGAGGCGCCCCAGAGCAACCGCGAGGTCCCTGGGGGCGTTTTTGGGCGCGATGGCTCTGGAGGTGCCTATGCCAAGGACTGGAGGCTTCGGCGGTGCGGGCGGTCCGTTGTGCACCTCCAACCAGGACCCCTGCAGGTGAGTGGTGTCCTCTGCGGATCACTCCCAGGACCTGGTCAATCATCTCCTCGAGCGGAGGTGCACGCTCTCCTCATTGGAGCTTCGAACCTGCGCAAAGAGAGGTTGAGAGCTCAAGGCCACGACGTGGTGAAAATTGGTGTTAACTGTAAATGTTCGCGGTGCCTCCACACATTTTCTGTTGTGCGAGGCGAGGTGTCTAAGTTTTGGCCGTGTCCGTGTCCTGGGGCGCTGGTGTTGGGATCCTCGGTTGTCGCGCAAGTTGGGCCCACCGCCAGTGCTAGTTCCTCCCAGGGTAACCCCACGGCCCATCCGTGTTTAGGTCGATCGCATCTGTCCCATGCACTCGCTGAATTTCGAGGAGTCCTATTTTGTCGGTCGCATGGGGCACTCGCGGTCCATAATGTGCAGAAGTTGGCCGCTGAGTGCCCACCGAAGCCCACGGCCACTGGACTTTCCAACCTCTCGCGGTTGGCCAAGGACAAAACCCCGAAGAGTGGCATGTCCTTCCCCGCGCCCTGAAGAGGTTGGTTTTCATTTTTTGAGGTTGGCCCTAACTCGGGGCTGACCGCGTAGGGCTGTGCGTGTACACAGGCGCCCCATATACCCCGAAACCCGAAGTCCTCCTCCTCATCTTCCTCCTCCTCCTCCTGCGCGAGATCGGAAATCCGGTTTGCGGTTGGGATGCACCGCGGCCGCCAGCACGGCATGCTTTCATTTCGCCGACGGCGTGCTTTCAATGCGCCAGGCGCTGCGGCATCTCAGGGAAATGGCAGGCGGTGTTCCTCCTCCGCCTCCTCCTCCTCTTCCTTTTGCTCCTGCTCCTCCTCCTCCT